GAAAGAAAGAGAAGAAACCCCCCCCCCCCCCCGAGGGGGAATGGCCACACCACAATCTCTTCTCCTCCATTCTCCTCTCGGGATCTTGGACACACACGCACACACACCCAGCGTGAGTTTAAGCCACCAGGTCCGGGACTCAAACTACGGTAAACTACATGAGAGTCCAGCAACATAGCCATTACGCCAACTGCTGGTCCCCCAGGTTTTTTTTTTTTTTAAGTTCTTACTCTCACCTTCATATTATCTAAGTTTTTTGTTTGTTTGTTTGTTTGTCTTTAAGTTTTGCTATGGGGTGCATGTGTCCCCCAAAGCGAGAGAGAGAGAGAGTGAGACAGGGAAAGTGAGAAAGTAAGAATGCATCTCCCCGCTCGTAGTCCCCGGGAGGGATGGGCACACCACAATCCCTTCTCTTCCATTCTCCTCTCAGGATTTTGGCATACATGTACATGTGCCTGGCATGTTTTTCCAGCCACTGGGCAGGGACTCAAACCTCACAGTCAGCCATGTGGGATCCAGTTGCCCCAACCACCACCTCACCAGCTGGCCCAATATTATCTAGGTCTTTACAGCTTCTAGTGCTTTTATTTCTTCCCAAAAGAATGGAGAATAATAGAAATTGAGTTCAGCTATATTTTATGTTCTCCAAACTCTGTCCCAATTAGAAAAATGTTGAGGACGTCTTTATTTACTAACCCCTTTATGTTACTGTTTAAACCGAGGTATGCAATAAGATGAGGTGAAGGCAGTCATTTATTTCTGACTTATAGCATTCTAATTGGTTTAATGTACAAAAGATATCTCCCTATTCTACTCTAAGCCCAGGAAGTAATATGAAACATAAACATTAATTTGCATTTCTTAAGAAAAAACTCTTAAAGAGAAGATGTTCTTTATTCTAAATGCTGCTTCCGGACATTGCCACACGTGAGTCACTGTGAAAGAACATTTCTAAGTATGTATTTTTGAGTGGCAGTGCTAATATCATTGAGAAAGTTCTAAGCCTTTTTTTTGTTGGCAGTCAAGTCAGCCTTTGGTATATTTTTTAAAGGTTTCAGGGGCCAATTAACACATGACTGTATTAATGTCTTTTTGAAACTAATCTAGTGCTTTCTTTTTAATGTAAATTCTTGAAGGAAACTTGAACTCTTTCTAGTCATGCTCACATTTGGACTTTTTGCATTTTTCCTGCTTCTGCTCTCAGGATTGAAGGGCTCTCTCCAGAGGCTACAACTGGAGTATGTGGATGTGGTCTTTGCAAATCGACCAGACAGTAACACCCCCATGGAAGGTGAGTGAAGAAATTTAATCAAAGACTCTAGAGTTATTGATTAAGCTAGAGGTTTATGCCACTCACAGTAGAAAGTGAAATATATTCAGACTGATCTGACTGAATCTGAAAAGTAACCTTTTTGATCACTGCCTTCAGCTTCAATATTTACCCTCAAGTCAATGCTTTGGATCCTGCATCTTCCTCTTGTAATTATTATTAGCAGTTGAAGGCATTCAGTCTGTGGTTCCTGCCAGTGACGATGACTCTTCTTACAGTAGGCGCTTTTCACTTTTCTCATTTCATCCACCAAAACGATAAAATTATTTGGAGAAGGGGTTTATAACCCAGCCAGCCTTTTGGATGAAGTCCTCCAAGGATCTTTCTATTTTATAATGACTCTAAGTCTGGTTAGTTTCCAATCGACAGTAACAAGTGCTAAGTGGTGCCATGAGAAAAGGTGTTACAGGAGCCACTACTTCAAAATGAGATTCGGTGCAATTTGGTTGTTGATTCTCAAGGTGCATCATCATTTTATTTCCTTTCTGTTATGACTATTTGAAAATAGCTCTTTAAAAAAAAAAAAGAAAAGAATTATTTACTATCATTATTTTTCAATTTTGACCAGAGAGAGTGAGCAAGCCACCAGATCTGGAACTCAAACCATGATCAGCCATGTGGGAGTCTAGCACCTTTAACCACCATGTCACCTGACCTGAAGATAGCTTTTTCTTTTTTCTTTCCTTTTTTTTTTTTTTTTAGTTTCTTTCTTCCATGAGAGAGGGAGAAAGCAAAAGAATGAAAGAGATAGAGACAGGCAGCCCAAACATAATACTCCTACTGCAGTCCTACCCCAGCCTTGACCAGCCAGGATCATGGGCACACATGCCCAGCATGCGTAAGAAGACCTCAGGACACAAACCTGGGACCTTCCCATATGTCTTCAGCATCACAGAACATTGTTCTACCATTGGGCCTTTGGCTGGCTTAAAGACCATAGTTTAAGCTTTTCTTTGTAGGCCTTTTAAGAATGTTCCTAAAACCAGATTTTCTTTCATTTATATTTATTAGTGGAACCTGCCAAGGATGATTGACAAGGGAGACAGTGTGGAAGGATGGGTTAAAAGAATATTCCAGTTAATTGAGGTTACAATGGATTATCACTCACCTGATGTAATTGAGAATAAACACAGTGTTTGGGGAAAGAGAGAAAAAAGAATGTTCTGGTTATTTGAGTTTCACAGTGTGATATGGATTACCAGTCTTTAAAGAATTATAATAGCATGGGACCAGCAGTTAGCGTAATGGCTATGTCGCTGGACTCCCATTTAGTCGACCGCGGTTCGCGTCCCGGACCCAGTGGCTTAAAACTCACGCCGGGCGCGTGTGCGTGCATGCCCAAGATCCCGAGAGGAGAGTGGAGGAGAAGGGACTGCGGCGTGGCCATCCTCCTTGGGGGGTGATTTTTCACTTTCTGTCTCTGTGTCTCTGTCTGTCTGGTGAGCGCACGCGCTTTATAGTAAAAATCTCTCCAAAAAAAAAAAAAAAGAATTATAATAGCGTAATCCACATAAAATTACACTAAAGGTAATTTTGCATTGATCATTCAAGAGGCAGTTTTGTTTGGGGTCTTGTATTAAAGTAAGTTCTGTGAAGGTTTATTCTTGCTATGGTGTTATAGAAAGTCTATAAGCAGTAATGGAAAAGTATAAATAAGTGAAGTATATATGAATTTTCCTAGGTTGCACTTCTGACCATTACAAAAACTTTAAAATTTCCTTGCCATTTATCTCTTTCGCAACTATAGATGAGCATTAACCATTTATTTATCTCTTTCTCAACTATATATATATATATATATAGCTTTCTCCTGAAGTTTTCTGCTTTCTTAATTCTGGGTAATGTAGGAGTCTACTATAAAGCAGTATCAGTGTTGGAAATTATCTATGGAAATGACATAAAAAGGCATATTTTTGTCAAAGCGAATATTAGGCATTTGATAGAGCAAATCGTAAACACTTTGTAAGTACAAGAAGTGTTTGATGCAAGGATCATATGGCATTGCACAAGTCTCAATAACACATTAAAACAAACACTAAAGCTCTTTAGTCAGCACAAGTCACTGGGTGGAGTATGTGAGAGATCGGAATTGTTTCATATTTTAAGTGCCTAGTGACTATTTTCTTCTTTAGAATATTGTTTTTTTACCATTATGCCAGGTACAGGATAACAGGATTTTTCAGAATTTCCTTTTAGTTTTTGTTTTGCGTTTGCCCATTCTACCCCTACCAATAATTTGAGAGAACGGTTATAGGAGTCTCTCCAACAGAAAACACAATTTCCCTTTTATATAGGTAGAAGTAGGAAACTCTCAACTAGGAGCCAAGCTATGTGATACTAATAAGGTAATTATAAACACTGGTTATGGGTTGAAATTTATTAGAAGAGAACTTTTAAAAAAAATTATTTTTAAAAAAAGATCATTGCTGTCCAATGTAGTTTGTAAATGTGCCATTGTGTAGTCTCTGCTGGAATTAGAGAAAAATTTGCATTTTCCCTGCATTTCTTATATAAAATTCCAGAAAGCAGAATAGGAAGGTGTTTTATCATGAGTTGCTGTACCAGTTTTGAAGCATAAGGAAGGGTATCCAATGGAGACTTGCCACTTGTTGATAAGGTCAAGAAACAATGACATTTTGTAGCTCAGCAGCCTACCTTATGTTGTAATGTCGCCTCTGTGTCCCCAAGGAAAGAGTCACCCCAGCAGGCCCACTAAGCTCTGAGGCTTATAGTTCTTAGAGGACTTTGCAAGACATTCCACGGGCACTTCCTTAGACAGAATTTGCTCCAGATTGAAATAACTTCCACGTAAGCTGTCCCTAGTTTTTAGAAAATGTGTATTCTCAAACTTTAATATTATATTCATCTGGTCACAGGTGAGCCCAGTGGAAATGCCAGAGTTCGATACTAGTCCCTGGAAATACATTCTCTACATTTAGTCTTTTCCATTCTACCGTAACAGAGGGAAGTATTGATCTGCAAAATACAGAGAAGAAATAGGAAATAAAGAAAAGGTTGCTCACTGTACTTGGGTATATTTGCTTTCCTACAAATGGGGAAAAAGTCATGTCTGAGCAGCTGTTTATAGATCCCATGTTCTTACGATTCACTTTTTGCAATTGTTTTGTAAGTCAAACTTGTGTGTATGTGCCTGTACGTTGGACATGTATGGACCAGCTAGCAATGTCGTGGTTGATGTGGCTAGATCCCACATGGCCAACTGCACAGTTCAAGTTTCAGACCTCGTGGCTTGAAAAAGTATGCCAGTTGGTGTTCATGCATGCTCAAAATCCTGAGAGGAGGATGGAGGGGAAGAGATTGCGGCTTGGCCATCCCACCGAGAGGTGATTTCTCACTTTCCTTCTCTCTCTCTGTTCAGTGAGTACACACACCCTATAGCAAATCTTTTTAAAAAGAAAGAACAAAGAAAAACAGAAAAGTGTACATATACGGTAAGGCCTACTTTAGGAGGGCAATTAGTGTTTCTGAAAACAATACATAAGTTAGATATTATGTCGTCAAAATTGCCCTTGAAAGCCATATAGTATCTCTGTTAATCAATGTTATCTTATAGCTTTTAATTATTAAAATATCTTCTCCAAATGACAAAACTATTAGCAGTTACTTGTTCAGCACTGTTTTTATTTTGTAATGGCAGAAAAATCATTAATACTGTTCATGTACTTTTTTTTTTTGTTTCATCATGCACATTAGTTATTTTAGGCTCAATTGCATCCACTTCTGTCTCATGGAAGGGACACAGCAGTAATTGCCAAGCACATAGAACTGGATTTTCATACACTAAATCGACATATGTTAAAACTACAGACCCTTAGCACTTGCACAGCATTTTTAGTGGTTCGAACCCTTCCTTGTCAACTCCATGGAGCCACAACTTTTGCCAAGGTACTTATTTTAAACCCAAAGGTCATAAACACTTTGCAAACGAGAGCCTGTCCCAGCTCAGCACTAGTCCTTCTCCAGTGCTGCTTATCACATAGGGTGGAACCCAAGAGCTTGGGTCCACTGGGGTCTCCAGACAAAAATCGTGCCAATGTCAAGGCAGTATGTGCTCACACTGGATATCTCTAAGAGACATTTTGAACAATTTCCATTTAAGCATTACTAAAATGCCAGTCCCATTCATGTGATTGAACCATGAAAGAATGTTGATTAGGAGCATTTCTAAAATAAACCAGGAAGAGTCTCATACAGTTTCTACACTTTGTATAGCAACCAATAGAGCCAGAAAAAGACTAGCTGCAGCATCTTCTCCATAATATATTGGCACCTGAAAGCCAATTAATTGTTGCCTTCCGTTCTTAGAAAATCAGTAGATAAAAAGTGACTCTTCTCAAAAGAAGGTTGTAAATTCCAAAGCTGCAATCAGAAAGAGGTGACACTTCTTTTGCAATCTGCATCCCTATGGAAAATGATCAGATATTTTAAGGCTATAGGAAGATGTTCCTGACGACAGAGGGGAACATGTATATTTTTTTCCTCGGTCCTTCTTGTTTATTTTTTTCTGGTTCACCTAGTAGTAAGTCATTTTTCTTTCACAGCATCTGCCATGCCATCTGTCTCTGCTATAATATCTGGCAACAATAGTGTGTTTTCCAATCCCAGGGAAAAAAAAAATCAGCCCCACATCCCATTTCTTCTTTCTTATGATGCTTATTCCTCCCAGCAGAATCCCTGACAGTTCCTTGTGCTCTCTGAAACTCACATTCTCAATTCTTTCACTTCCATAAATCCCCAATGTGTAATTTTACATCCTTCTCTTAAGCTCATTACACAAGAAAAAGTTCAGACCAAATGAGTCATGCTGGGCATGGATGGACACAGAGCGTTTGTGTGTCTGAGGACATGCCCTAGGAGTTTTTCTGGTTGGTTTCTGTCATTCCCAAAGGCCAGGCCAATTGCTCTCTATGTACTCTTCTCACTGCTCCAGAATGAAGTGA